CTAATAAACTGCTTGAGCACTTTTAAGATATTTTGGCTGCTGATGTATTTTCCTCATTTACTTTTTGTAAGGTCAAATTTAGTACCTTAACTCTCAGATTCATGGTTTTGAATTTTTAGAAGACACGTGTATTCTGAGTATGAATGTTTGGGATACACATGATTTCCCCAATTTCTTCATTATTTCACCTTTTCTTGAGATAGATATTTTTGTTGCCCAGACTGACTTCAAACTCAATGTGTAATAATGTCCTTGAACTTCTGATCCTAACTACCAAGAGCAAGGGTTACAGGCCTGTACCAGCACACCTGGTTTTATATGGTACTGGGCATCAAGCCAGGAACTTTTGTGGTAGGGAAGCACTCTACTTCATGAGATACATCCCCTCTTTAAGGAGTCTTTTGGCTTGACCTTTGAAAAAATCTACAAATATGGGTATATTTGGGCTCAGCACATTTTGGTTCCCTATGTCTGAGTTCTCAGGCCCTGGGGTCTGTGTGTCCTGGAGTTCTCAAACACTCCTGGACTAGCTCAGGGAGTGCAGTTCAGCTGCTTTGACTGAATAACTTGGCTGCTTGCCCAGCACAACATCACTGTTACCAGTTGGCTCAAGGTGAGAAGTACACAGCTGTTTAACTCTTTTTAATGAGCTTCCCTCTTTATGGTTTCCTGTTTCCTCACATCCTGGTTGCCTTGGCTTCCCAGTGCTGTTAAACATTGGATTTTGCTTTTTTAAAAAAATTAACCAAGCTTCTAGTTGTTCTTTGATAAATTTGCTACTCTACTTCTCTACAAGGTATTCCATTTTAGCCTGGATTACCAGAATTACCAGCAAGTACTTCTTTTTTTCTTTTTTTTGTGGGAGGGCAGTAAATATGATACAAAAATTACAGACTATTTAAAAACATAGCCACATTCCTCAATAATAGATCCTGTATTATTCTCAGAGAAACTAGTGGCAATCCTTCTACTTATAATTACAACATATATTGTGGCTAATATTTACTTTTGCATTTATACTATTGAGTCCCTCTGTCTATGGACATATGCATCCTATTGTCCACAGAGGTAAGAAGAGAGCATCAGATCCCCTAGTGCTAACATCACGGTGGTTGTGAGCCATCAGACATGGTTGCTGGGAACACAACTCTTGTTTCCCTTGGAGGGGTAGTAAGTGCTCTTAGGCACTGAGACAATTCTCCTGTCTCCTGGATTCATTTTTATTATATTTTGTTACTTTTTGCTGTGGTTAACTTTATTGTGATTATTAATATTGCTAGTTTAGAGGTATTGGCTTATATCCTATTTCCAGTCTTGAGATTTCTTGTCAGCTAATACAAATATGAAGTCCTAGAAATGTGACATATTTTACTGTGACGGTTGCAAAGAAAGTATTTCTCCTTTATTGTGGTCATACTGAGAGTCAGTAAGAAACTGTTTGCTCTGTTGACTGCATGATCAAGACTAATAGTTAAATCAAATTATGGAAATATTGAAAAGGAAAGGCAAGATACATAAAATGCCAATTTCTCATTAGTAGAGTTCTCACAAATATATGTAAAACAGATCTTTATATGGCTGCTGCATTTATAACTAAGAAAAGAAAGCATCTATTTCAGCTTTGACATTGAATATACTTCCACTTTTCTATGTGTTTCACTTTTGGCAGGATTCATTTTTTCAGAGAAACATCTGCCACCCATCCAATTGTGCAATCATAACTTTGAGACTACATCCAATAATGCAGGCAGACTTTAGAGATTTCTTATTATTTTTATACCATAAAACTCAAGGTATAATATGTCCTTATCAACGTATAGTTCTATCATCTGATGGGATAGTCCTGATAATATGTGAAATAAGCAAGCATATATTATAATTTATTAGTAAATATGCTGTTTGGTTTTAGAAAACAGGGGTTTGCTCTGTAGCAACACGTGGGCCCAGATATCACTGTGTGCATCAGAGTAGCCTCAAACTGATGGAAACCCTCCTGCTTCAGTTTCTTAAGTGTTCTTGTTATAGCTGTGAGTTACCACACTGAATACTGATTCTTATTTGGCAGACAGGTATGACTTAGAATTTTGACTAACATGATAAAAGAAAATATATGCAAAATTAGCATTTGAAACAAAATCATTTTAACAGGAAGGGCTAATGTGAATGGGAAAATCAGTAAAGTATTGGTATGTGGTAAAATAATCATGCTCACATTTTTTAAAGACAATGACTATTTTAAAGTATTATTATGAATTTTATTAATGCATCCAGTGTTTTACTATACTTATAGGCACACACAGTGTAAAACTCCAGCAAAAGCTTCTCATCTGTTCGTTTTATTTCATGGCTCTAGCAGAAAAGCTGGGTTTATCAATATGTCTTATTTCTTTCTTACTACACATTGTTAGCAAAATACCACTAACCAAACCCAAAGACATATAATAATATATTGTGCTGTAAATGCTAACAATTTGCAAAACAATTAATGTTCCATAATTTAAAACTTCTCTATTTATCTTAGCCTTAAATGTTTGCAAAGGGTAGCACTCTGTCTTCTGAAGTCCCCTCTCGTGCTCAGTTACTTAGAACTAGTGGTGGAACTATTGTTTCATTTAGATTCCCTTCCTAATGAAAGTTTAAGGAGAGCTGAGACCATGTCAAGGAATGATAACACAGAGCTGATACTGGTGGAATATCTCTACCAACTGCACACTGCTCATCAGTCACTGCAGTGCATGAACCAAGACAACATAGAGTAAAGGAAATAAAGGCATTAGTCTCTACTCAAACTAATTAGGGGTTTGAGTATTTCCTTAAATATTTCTGGTCCACAACTATCACATAAAATTCTTTCAAACCAAGTGTGTCCTGTTAAACTCCTAAATGCAAGATGAAGTCTTAAGTAAAAGGAGTTTATCTGGTCATGCTTGTTTTAGTTGTTATTCAATCCTCACAAATCTCTAAAGAGGACTGATGGGAGAAATACTTCTGCGTATGTTTATAAATAAAGTACTTGCTTGGCCAATGAGACAGCAGGTTAGGCTGGACTAGGAGTCAAAGAGAATTCTGGGAAATGTAGTAGAGAAATGGTGTTCCAGACAGGAAGTGACATAGCAAGGAGACTCATATTTAAGAAGAGGAAAAAGGAAGTGTCGCTCTCTTTCCCCTCGGCTCCTGCTCCAGCGGCACGATGTGATCCACCAGCTAGGAGGGACGCCAATAAGGCGTCCAATAAGATAAGTCTTATAAAATATATAGATGTATGATAATTGATACTGAGCTAACAGATGAGAATCCTAGTCATTGGCCAAGCAGCATTGTAACTAATACAAGTCTCTCTATGTATTCATTTGGGCCTAACTTGGGCAGGTGGCTGGCGTAAAGCTTACACGTGGCAGTGGGGCTCAGCGGCTTTTGGCAGAAAGATTTATTGTAACATTTATCATAACAGAATGGTGTCAGAAGTGGGATAACTCCATGCCCAAAGGTTCCCAGAGAAAGAGGTAAACCTGCCGCCACAGCCTGCCCTGTCGGGCCGCTGAGCTGCATGGGAGCAGCTTCCATATGCTTGCGCCGTCCCGGCGCTTGCTTCTGGGGTTTAGACTCAGCACTTCTGAGATGATAAAGACAGATCCAGATAAAGAAAAACCTCTAAAGGTTTACACTACATTTAAAAATATATGTAGGCTTGTGAGAG